TCACGCGCGATTTACCCATGACGAAACTGCAATGTATCTTTCCTTGAAATGAGGCGCAGATGTGAGACTGTCCCAATGGGTTCCTAAAGCCTTATCCAGAGGCAAATTGTCGGATTTCAAATCTAGATCCTTAATGTGCGGAGCTCGTTCTCCCACTAGAACGCTGACAAGACATCACGACGGTTTGAAATCCATTTTGGGAGCTGGAAGCCTCCTCTTCTTCCTCTCGAAAGGGAAGTCGAATCTGATAATGCCCCGTTCGTGTCGCCACATTCTTCATTGTACATGCGCTCCAGTTGTATATCAAGAACTTCACGCTTGTTGTGTATTATGTTCTTCCCTCTTGTCTGACAGCAAGTTGATAATTTCTGGATGATCGCTGCCTATCAGGATTGTTACTCTTTAATCTCCTGTTTCGGGTACACTGATGTCAGTAAAGTGAGGCTACTTCCGTATTTCTTCGTTGATTGCCATATGTCTTAGCGTAAAAGGAAGACTCCCTGCGGTTAAAACATGGCTAAGCTTGTAACGTTCAGCTGAACCTGAAGGTCGGTCCTTTTGTGTTCACAATTGACCGTCGCCATCGTAACACTAGTCGGCTTCATATCATTCAAATCTAACTCCCGCACAAGGCCCTCGAGGCAGGAACTAGCATCTGACCACGAACACTCACATGAATAAATATCTCTTTGGCACCATTACGACTACTGATTTTAACTGGGACAACCTTCAAGCACACTCGAGGTCGACTGGTCCCTACCACGCCCACAGTAACAGGCACACTAAGTGGAGTTGTAGTGTTCGGAGGATTATCTGATCCAATCTTAGCGGCTATTGACCCTGGAACGTAGCGGAGACCTGCGAAAGTTCCTTTTGCTGCACCATTCCTTTCAGCACTTCGAAAGGTATCATGGCCGTTAGTCTTGATGCCACTCCCATTTCCGTCGGCTACACTGAAATGGATTAGATATAATAGTCTTAGCCACACCCTGGTTTTAAGCATGGGAATCCTTTTGGGACACTGTTCCGCGCTATGTCCCTGTGAGAGACATGCTCTGCAAAGTCGGTGTTGTCTTACAGTCTTTGAAGGATCTCTTAAAGAGGAACTTATAAATATCCGACAGCTCCAGACTCCATGCGGTCCCGAGCACTGTGGACACTTCAGTGGAACTCCGGTAGGTATGGCGGTGCCCTGCTAATCTTCTTCACTGTGGGTAGCAAGTGTTGTGACTTTAAGCGTGTAATCTGCCTTTCCTTTGGAAGATTCCTTACTTTCCCTCCCAGCACATGAAGAAAACTTCAGTTCTTTTTCATGTCCATTTTTGACACGTTGTCCTGCCTCTCTAAAAAAACTAACAAAATCCAAATACGCAGCTCTACCTTTGCTCTTGATGAGATCTCCTGCTCTATCGACCCACTTTCTTTTAAGAACTTCATCGGGAAGCTTTCTCATTAGTGTAATTATCGCATTCCCACTGAACTTTATTAACTCTACTTTTGGTAGCGATGGACCTTGTTTGATCCCTTGTTCAGTTGTTTCCAAACTTCTGACTGCTGCACAGAGGTCAGTGACTAAGGAGAGAGGTACGGGTACTGCATTGGCAAAGGTAGGTCAGCTGTGAAACAAATGCTGGGTAGATTTCAGTTGCTGTTGCTATAATAAGCGGATGTTGACCGGAAACTCGCTGGTGATAAGCTCTCAATAGAGTACACTGGTGGCTGAATTGTGTCAGGTGCAGGTATTGTAGTTAGTTAAGGAGAGTGTCGAGTCAAAGAGCTAACTAGGGAGTGAGATTCCCTCCTAAAGCTGACGCCGGTGACCAAAATTGGACTCAGATGGAGGCCTTTTTTTCTTCTGTCATCTTTTTCTCCCTCCATTCATTCTTCATACCTGCCAACGGTTTCTTCTACTTCTGTTTTTCAACTCCTGGGCTTGTAATCAAATCTTGAATGACATTCCGACGTTTTCACAGTTCTCCTAAATGTCCAGCTCTCCGACGCCCAGCATGGACAGCTCTCTCAGTGTTGACTTCCTCTTCATTCAAATCTCGCTCGGTGCTTTCTTCCTAGTTTCCATAGTTGAACCTCGAAGATTTTCGCCAACAGAAATTAAATCCACGTAGCCTACGGCTAACAATGGCCATACATCCAAATTTCCACCGCTCTCGTCGCTCCTAAACGCGTTGACTTCTGACAATTTATTCGGCGCCTCTTCAGCAACATGACGATTTACTTTACGTGCGATTCTTCAAAGACAACTTTTACCTTCGAACGACTGGCCGATTTTCTTTTCTTTTTGCCGGTCAGCTGATGACAAACCACTCATGTAAACAGATCTTGACATAAGAACTCTAACTTTGAATTATGTAGGGGCCAGCTAAGCTTGGCGTAAATAAATATGACACAACAACCTGTATACATCCAGATTCCTTATATTCTTGTAAACAACGATTTGAAATACGAGGATCTATCCAGCGACGATTCGAAATTAGTACTTCTTACAAGACAGCTTCAAAATCCTTAGCTTAAAACAAATCTTGACAAAACAGCAGCAAAAAAACTTCAAACGAGGCCTAAGTAACGCACATTGCGGCGCTATAGAGTGTAATTAAATTCAACGAATCATACAAGTTTGGTTCACCGGATCCTCAACAGTCCTCGCCCAGTTATCTGAAAGCAAAGATGTGAAAGAAGTACGGGAAGCAAATAAAAAATGTTGATACCCGGTAAGAGGAATGAAAGGGAAATACTGTGCATTAATTAAGTATATTTAAAAATTGCCTAAATTTAAAAAAATTTAAAGCACTTTCCCTTTTGCCAAAGTTTCTTTCATCCCTTTCCAAAGAAAAAAATGGTCGTTCCATGATAAAACCTGATGTCAAGTTAAGAAGTAATATACAGCATAAGTCTCACCTAAATCTTCCATGGACAAGAAAGCGGGGTCGGATGCTTTTTCTCCCACAGTATTATTTGCAACGCAGTGATATTTTCCTTTATCTTCTTTCTTTGCATCTTCTATTACCAGTTGGCTATGAATTTGTTTGTCGTCCAGGACAGTCTGAATGTATTTTATTCTTGGGTTGGACTGTGCAGCGAGTGGATCGTTGTTCTTTATCCATGTGATGGATGGCATGGGAGAACCTTTGGCGGTGCAGTTTAAAGTTACGTTGAAACCAGCAACGACGGTTTGGTTCTTTGGATCCTCGACAGTCTCTGGTGCCAGGAAAGCTGACACCGACAATCCCAGATGACAGTAAAAATTTTGTTAGGAGAACATAAAAAAAGGAGTAAGAGAAA